CAGTGATATGGGAATTAAAAACAGGTTATATGACTTCACTCGAATGAACTCATTTTGGATATCAAATCCTCATCAGTAACCTGAATTCCAGTTATTCTTTCAGCTATTCTTCATGATATACACACACATTATCATCTCCCTATATTATAACTATAACTATAATGAAGATTATGAATTGTTGACATACTCCTGTCATTTGAGCATTCGTTCTTGAATGTATGATGGATCGATATTCATCATACATTAAAAAAATGTGAATGTGGAAGAAAAATCTGAATTGAAACAAAATAATAACGTCACCATATTCTCTTCAACATGGTCTTGACAAACTTGAGATTCCAATAATGTCAGAAACTATGTGATGGTAAACTTCGCAATGTGTGAAAGTTCAAATATAGATTCACAAAGCGTAGATTCTGTAACAGTTGGGAATGGTGATCAAACAACACTATGTCACTCTTAAGTGATGTGAACTATTTTGCTGGGGTGTAAAGAGGGTTGACTTCATAACCTCAACAACCGCAGGACCAAATTCCACGTAATTATCTCCGTTGATCTAAGACCCTTCAAAGTTTAGGTTTGTGGATTCACGAAGTTCTCCAGTTGATAGTATGACACTAACTTCATAACAATACCGGGTGCCAACAAAATCATTAGACAAGCAATGCTTTCCAGAGTTCCGAAGGTAGGAGATTCCAATTTGACAGTATTACAAGATTTGAGAAGATACTGAAGTTCAAAATTTCCATATGCTCAATGAGTGTGACAGAGAAAGAAGATTTGATATTGCGCTGTCACACCCACTGAGCATAATATGAAAACGTCGAACGCAAATATCTTCGTGATCGTTCGAAATAACCCTATCAAATATGGTATCGTTGAATTCGTCATAATATTCCTCAACCGATTTTGACATACAATACAATACAGGAGGTATGTTTGGAAAATAAAAAGTTGAAGTCGATTGCGGTAAAACCGGAATAGATGGGAGGGGATGGAATATCAAAAAATTTAACAATTCTTGAATACCCCAGCCAAGTTCAAATTTCATACCTTCAGAACTCTGGAAGACATGGCTTGTCTAATGAATACGTTGACACCCCCGGTATACTCCATCAGGATGTACGATGTTGATTGAATGACGAGAACTTCTAAATGAATTGAAGTGACTGAACACTTCCATATTCCAAACTACTAGTATTTTGTACGATTTTGTAGCATCCAATTTCGTATCCAACAATCAATCGCAATCCAATATTTGATAGCAAAATATTAGTCCTAACATGCATCTAGTTAGCCCGGATTTTCCACATTTATATACGGAGGAATTGAACAAACAGGGTTGAACAAGTTTGAGAAATTACGCCCGCGACAATACCGGGTGTCCCAGATTCTTTTCGTACAGTGAATATCGCAGTCACGATGCCTGACAAAAAAAAACTGAAAAATTATACATATGTCAATCCTCACAGATAACAGAGATATAGGGTTTTCATAATCAAGATTTTTCAAATTTAGGATTTTTTTGTGTCGAAACTATTTATTATCGGTCAAAACGGCTCCCACATGTCCCAATCTCAACTTTTGATTCACTATCAACATATTCAATCGGAACAGATACAGGGTGGTTGAAGATTCAGAATTCTGATCACCCTGTATCTGTTTCGATTAAATATCAGTATATTGTGAATCAAAAATTGAGATAGGGAGATGTGAGCCGTTTTGACCGATGATGATAAATTGTTTCGACACGAACAAATCTTAAAGTTGAATAATCTCGATTTTATGATTTTGAACACCCTATATCTCTGTACTCATTTTCCATAAATCCCGAGTGTGATGTATTGGTAAAATCAGCTCTTCAGGGAAAATCTGAGGATGCTTTGAAATACAGGGTATTCTATTTGAAAAAACAAAGTTGTTGCTACTTTTTGATAGAAGCGGCACCACTGCATTCCTGCAAATATTTCGAGTGGAAAGTGCGTATTGTGAAATATGAGCATGTATATTTTCATGGATTTCTCTCGACTGATTCTCGATATAGAGATAGTGTAAGTTCGCTCGTCGTGATATATCCTGTATATCCATATTCATTAATTCATGCTAAGAGAAGTGTCAAAACTACAGCATACGACAAGCAAAGATTCATTATAGTTTCGTTACCTCCCAGTTGTGTTTAATGTCCTTCGCTACGCGTCGAGCTCCAACCTTAACACGTGGAAGGAAAAGGACACCTTTGCTCCCTTGGAGTGATAACTTCTATAGCTCCGTTAAGCACTTCTTGGGATAGGAGTAAACTGGCAAACTCGCGTCACGGAAGCGCGCATACCATGAGACCTGCATATTCATGAGTGTATACGTATATATACATTGTATAAACATATGATGAAACGAAATCAGCATCTCCATAACAAATTATTATTTTTTTAAATTCTCGAACAGACCGATTTTTTAAGTTTATGTTTCACGTAAAAGTGTTCTAGCACCTGCCAACCTCCTACCCTTCTGATCAACCCCCTTGAAATTTTTCAAATTGTAAAGGGGGTCAAGTGATCTATAAACTTTTGGAGTGCTTCTTTTCTTTTACTCAGGAGGCCTCCGTGTCCATCCCGCAGATGACGAAAGCCTTGTGGGTATGGAATGATGGGATTTGATTGAATTGGGTCAGACTCGCACCAGATGGCGGTCATGCATGCCATCTAGGACATGCCTGCCCTGATAAGAGCCAAAAACTCGAAACCAGTCTGTTCCCTATTAACACACTTATGTTCCATGGATATCCTTTGGACGTCCTGTCGGGACAATCAGGACGTCCATAGGACGTTCGAATTTGGTACCGTGGACGTCCATTGGACGTCTGTGGGAAGCACAAATGTCCCACTTGAGGACCAACTAGGGACGTCCTTGAGGGATGTCCCTGGGACAACTATCAAATACCTAAATCCTACCATATTCCTCATCAAGCACTACAGAGGACATCCTTAGGACATCCATAGGACAACCTATCAGCAACGCTGAGGGATATCAATTGGATGTCCATAGGATGTCCCAGGGACGTACGAATTATTCTTGAATTTGAATTTTTCTGGGTCCCTTTAGGACCCGATCTTGCATAACTGATCAGGACATCCAGTTGAGTTGATGGCCCGTAGAAGGTCCCCAAAAAGTGTCCCAAGGATGTCCAATGGACTAACGTAAAGGACAATGACGAGGAGTACTTATGGCCTACGAGCAATCATTCGACGGCGAGGTGTAAGTTAACGTCCTCGCAGGGACAACATATTGAAAGTACCGACTGGGACGTCCATAGGACGTTATTTCTAGGACATTGAAAGAGTACAGTTCATGTACCAATTGGGACATCCGACGAATATCCCTAAGGGACATTCGAAGGACGTCCCTAAGGGACATTTCGATTGTTATACGATCCTGGAAATATTAAGGGCGTCTGTGCAGATATATTTGAAGAAATGTACCATCAGGGAGATCTGGAGTCATGCCAGAATATGTTCTACTCGGGACATCCGATGGATGTCCCTAAAGGAACGTTCAAAAGCATATCTCATCAGGGACATGCCAAGGACGTCCTTGCTCGGACATTGCATGAGATGTACGGGATGGGACGTCCCAAGGACACTTATTTTTGGTTCGGGACATTCGGACGTGAATTGTACCAAATAGGGACGTCCCTAGGACGTTGTGTGCTATTAGGGTTGGTATTCAAGCGTTCCTGACGAGGTTCCTGAGCAATTTGGGTACTACTTCTCATTTTCCATTCGAATTAGCGGTTACGAAAATTCCTAAACAACCACTAAACTCGCAATTTTTTGAAATGAAATCACAGATTCAGTCTGACATATTTGATTACTTCAAAAGAATGAAAAAGATGCCTGCAAAAAGATACCTGCAACTCAGGTGTCATTCCTGTTAAAAACTCCTAATGTCACGTCGATAATTCTCAGATTTTGATACAATGTAATATCTTCTCAATATTGATTCGTCCTTCTTTTTGTCACAGAAAAAAAATTGTTTTTTGTCTTTATCCGCTCCGCGCCGGGAGACAACACAACCTGGAGCTAAAATCTACTACTTTTTTTCTTTGAATAATAAATAACTATTTTTCTCAACCACCCTGTAGTTTGTTTATATGGGGACAAAATGAGCACAGATTCGAAAAACTCGTAAAAAAATATTTGCATTTATGAATAATGCGATTCCAAAAATTGACACGTTGAACCAAATCTCCGGGTAAAAGTTCTTGGACTTTCTGTACATGATGAGGGTGTAGATGACGACGGATAACTCGATGCACAGAACTCTGCGATATACCAATTTGTCGAGATAAATTCCTAGTACTAATATGTGGATCATCTTCGATAGCATGAGAGAAAACTTCCTGTTCATTTCAAAAACACTCAAACAACAATTATTCAATTGAACAACTTACTTGCGCGTTTTCAGGTATTCGAGTTTTTGATGAAAATGATGAGGTTTTCCGAGAGGTTTTCTGAAGAATTACTAGAGTAAGGAGAATTTTAGAATTGAAGTGCCCACAAAACAAAGCGGAGATTCTTTAAATCAATAATGGGTTAACAAAATTCTGTTGAATATTAATGGTGCGCCACCCGGTATACCCCCCTTCACAAATTTCAATTAAATTCTAGTTACTGTCAAGTAACGCCCTAAATACATCCACAAAGTGTACCAAATTTGGTTGCTTTGAGTTCAAGAATAACGGAGATATTGATTTTTTTCAAAATTTATAACTTTACTTCCAAAGCCAATAACTCCTTAGGAAAGCAACTTGGTATAGAGGTAAGTTGCGTTAAATTGCCATATTTTGGGACCCCCTACATGCCCCTGCTCTATGTCGGTTGTTATGTGAATCACCCTGTATTTTTTTCTACTCGTGGGAGTAAATTGACAACTTTGTTTTCTTGAATGAGGAAGCAAATGCTCACTCTCGATGCAGTGAGTTGATAAAAAATTAATGTTCTTACCTGAATAGTCCAGTCAGACGTAGAATCCGCGTATGGGCGCACTCACGTTGTTCCTCCTGGATTCCCCGGAGCAGCACGCGAGGGCGTTCGAGGACACACTGACGGGGTGCAAAAGCGCCGTTCTGGCGCCGCGACGGCCGATGCGTGCGCACCATCAAGCGATGAGACGACGTCTCGACACGTGCTCGCAGCTTTGAAGTTGATGGCCCGAATCGAAAGGTAAACAAAAAACCACATTTTATCCGGGAGGTTCCAACTACTTCAACCATCGACTTATTATCCCAAAAGTCATTCTTCCTCGAATCTAACCAGACAAACCAGGTTAACTGTATGATGACGTCACGGTAAACTCATTATGACGTAACGGTTCACTTTTGAAGCTTGACAGAAGTTAGTTTATTAACTGTTTTTGTTTATCGTTTCGTTTTAGTAGTAATACTGATATATTGAATGAGAAATTCATCATCTGTGGAATAAAATATATCGAAGATAGGAACTAGGTACTAACTTTCTACGAATCCAAGAAAATTTGATCGAAACAATTCGCTGCGTACACATATTTACAATGGATCAAATATTCATGCTCATCAATGTGATGAGATCTTCCATTGAAAAATACTTCGTATGAATCCACAATTATATCTCTTTGAAAAGTATAATTATCACTTCGAGGAAAATTGATTGGTTAACTTATTGCTGACCCGGTTTGTTTGGTTATCTACGAGGAAAAATGGATATAGACGATACGAAGCAAATTTCAATAGCAATACAAAAAATATACTTTTATTTTGTTTCCTCAGACACATTGTAAAGTATTTGAATGATTATAATTGCTTCTGATATGTTTGTAGTTCTCGATGATAATTTCTCATAGGTTCATTCTCAAAATATCGCAGTACTACATTGATCACGTATTCAAACAAATAATAATTCGTTTTTTTGGACACCCGCTATCTAATCATGGCGTAAATGAGTACGTGTATGTTTGATTCATTCAGAATCCACAATTATTACTAGTGAAAAAAAAATGGTCAATGGAGCTTTTCGTAATTTTTGTCAATGAAATAGGTCGCAGTTGGCCACGATAACAGTCCAAGAACAAGATCAAGATCTTGTTGGATGGACATTCTGAATAAAAATTTAATCGGAATCGATCAGATAATAACGATTTGATGAGTTGGTAAGTTTTGAAGTGGATATCCTGATACAGGCAATATCGTAATATAGCCATTGAAAAAATCGTGTGAAGGAAGAATAACAAAAAGTCGTATTGGTATGAAGTTCTCAATATAATCGACTTAGCTTTCGTGATATATCAGGACGAAGAACTGGCAATATAAATCAAACCGATAGGAATATATGACATAACAGAGATCCTTTCCGAAAACTACCATGATTTACACGCCGAACTGAAGTCAATAAATTTTTCATAGCAAGCCATTTTTCTTCCACCATTATGTTTTCTCCTTCAGTGAACTATCCGTTATATTGAACGGGCCTGCCGAAATATCAAAAGAAAAGTTGTATACTGTGGATAATGTCTTCCAATTAGTATTCTGAGATAGACTCGCGTTTTGGACTCAATAAAATCAATCATGATTTTCATTATTATCACCTCGTGAACGTTTGATCAATTCACTATTGGTATTTCGCTTGGAAAGAATGAGGTGATTTGGGTTATATTTGTTGGCATCTGCTTCAACTGTCAAATTGAGTATCATTAAATTTGTCATCAATGTCAAAAAATTAGATAGCAAAGTTAAGGATCCAAGACGATGTTTTTGTTCTAATCTTCAGTCACCAACAATATAGAATGATAAAGAGAGAACAGTCTCGAAGTCGTCTCCAGAAAAAAATGTTTGTGACATGTTTCGACCATTCAAATGATCCTCATCAGTAATTAGTGCATGTTCAGTAAATCTAACTGAAGGTCAACAGTATGAGTGAACAGTGATATGAAAATAAACAAGCATTTGGAATATGTGTCCCTAGCTGGAAAACATCAAGAATCTGAAAACAATTTAAAAAGTGTTATATTGATTTTATGAGGTTATGTAGAGAATAAACATCCAAAAACCATTTTCAGATGTTCACTTTCACCGACGAATATTTCCGGAAGGTAAAATCGTGCGATAAAAAATACTTTCTTTACTAGGTAGATGAAGGTATTAATGAATGTTTGTCGTATGTATTTTCATTGGACATCCTGTATAACCCGTCTGTAGGGTAATGTTTGAACGTCTATTGGGTACCCATACTTTCAACGAAAGCTCGCTAATGAACACTGTGATATCATAGTCATCATCATGACTGATGTATATAAGATTAATCGGTAAGTACAGGGTGTGTCATTGAAACTGTATCCTTCTCTGAACTTTTTCATTTTCGAAGATAAGGGAAAATGATGAATATTGAAGCTGGATGAACTAACTTGAATATTTTCAGAAATGGACTTGATCTTTTGTTTTCCGAATATAGAACACTATACGGTCATGTTTTGACAGGAAAATTATTGAGTTTGATTGATTGACGATGAGAGTTGACCGAAATAATTTCATAACATGAGTCAGTCGAACTTATAGTGTACCTCTGAGGTTTTTTCTGGCTCTTCAGTAAATTTAAAAATGGTCATTTGTGTCTGAGCCTGAAAACCCGGCGATGAATCTTCTGCCATACAACATGATTTTTCTTCTGTTTCAACTTAATTTTTAATGATGTTATAGTGTGCCCATAATTTTGTCGGTACTTTTTGTCTGATGATGGTCGTTGTGCCGAAACCGGTAACATGTTTTTGACGATATAGATGTTATATAAATGTGTGGTCGACTGACTTTGAGTCTTTTGTTTTTTCTTTTGAAATTTTATTGGACCACTTTGAGATATGGATGATTTTCACGATTTATATAATGAATATTATCGAAAGTTGTTTTCCGAGAACAATGTCGTCTCTTCTAAGGTTTAAGACTTGATGTCAACAACAGAAATCCCAATAGAATCTATATATAATGTCCTGCCTGATACAGTGAGGTGCATGGTGATCGGTCCATTCAAAACTTTCATCAAAGAGTTCCTAACAAAAAATTGTTCCTATAATATTGAAAATTATGATTATATCTGGCAGTGAATTCCTAGGGTAAGAACATTTTATATTGTTGTATATATACTGTCAATATGAATGAATACCTATTTGTCTTTGTGTTTTGAATTTTTTAGATTTTCGTTCTCAGATTGTTAGGAATCTGTGTCCTTGAAATTTCTAATCTTTGAAACAATTCATCACTGCCCCCTATATTTTCGAAAATTCTACCTACATACTATGACTTATCACAAACATCTCAAAAATGTGTAACGTGATCAAATACATCTAATCTATATACTATTCTATTCTTGAATATAATTGACGCCCTGAAATACAACTGGAAAAGTTGTAGTATCATTTCTCATCGACTCCTCTTCAGATCTCCGGAATTGTCTCCATATTGTCAAGCTCAACATCCCCTTTGAAGGAATTTCGAGAAGGAATAAGATTGGACGGTTTCCAAAACCCGAGCGCATATTCTCAACGATGAGCGATGGCATTTGTCCCCTAAGAAATCCATATTCCTGAAATATCACATCTTCTTTAATACGACTGTAGGTCCAATCTTTCAATTCACTTTGAACGTTTTCAATGTCGAAATAATCAATATATTAACATCTCCATCGAGTATAATTAATAATTTACTTTTTTTTTCAATGCCCACTAAGTTCAACTTTGATTGTAAATAAGTCAATCATCATCGATCCAAATAAGTTATTAGTATCGATTGAATAGAAAAAAGCAGCTAAGTGTTCCACAGGAGATAATATCAATTTCTGAAAAATTAAAGACGCTGTAGATCTTCAACATCTATCGAAATATATCTCGAAATTGGAATTCAAGTTATCACTGGATCCTGAAAAATTCCGAATTTGAGATTTTCAAAGCCTATCTACCATCTGTGTCGAACTCCATATTCTAGAGCGTCTCATAGAGTCGCACTATACACATGTCAAATAAAAAAATATCATTATGCAAACGGATGCTCACTTCCATATCCCTTGGGAAATTTTCTGTTCGTCCTGTTGATAGAATCTGGAATGACTGGACTAATGCATTCCCTTCGGAAATATCGCGCATCAAACTTCACACAATCCGAACTAGATGGCGCTAGCAGTTCCTCATGGAGAATTTTCAGATTGAAACGAATTTACATACCAACAGCATGCCCAAGAAGATATACATAAAATGAATTGATATTCCATATTCATTCAAGTTTCTCTCATACAAGCTAATGATGAAAACTGTTGTTGAGAATGAGAAGATTGAATTGTTTTGATATATTTAAACTTTTTGAAATTGCTTCGTCGAAAAGATGAAAGTCGAAAGAAATAGGTATTTCTGAACCTCCAAATTATTGGAGTCGAATTCAATACAATTTGTGAATCACAATCACACTGTAGATCTTGACTTTCAGTTGGACTGAATAGTATACAATCTCTCTTAGTCTTCACTCTTCCGATTACTATAGTATTGGGATTTTAACCTTCATTATTCCGCGCTGTCATTCTGTCAAAAATGATATGTTTTTGACGCCAAGTGTGATGTGTCAAAATATTAATTTTGCCAGAACGACTCGGAAGATATGTTTCTACCATATTCGGTTGTATATAAACGAATAATCATATGATAATCAGTCACATAATTGAATGAACAATTGTTATAACCTTCGATTCTACTACCAAATAATCACACTTGATGATCACGTGTTATATGCCGTCAGATGGCACATTGCTTAGCATCAAAACACAATAGAGTGATATTCGATTTCTTATCTATTTCGAAGTTTATCATTACGACTTATTTTGATATTGCAGATGACTTGGAACGGTCGACGTATTGTTCGCAAATGAAGGGTCCATTGCGAAAAGGATATAAGTGCCCAATAATGTTCTCTGTGTAATGAGGATCTGAAGTTGATTGTTGATATGAATTTTTGGCAACTATGTTAACTGATAATCCAAGGTAGCATTTCTACCGTGGGCAAAGAATAGAGAAATTTTGTTCTGAGTATCCTGCAATTGTGATACACTTCAATGCCATGTAGTTTGAATGAAAAACTCTACTTGGAGGTATGTATATATATCGATATTTCTCGATGATCTGCACCCCACTTCTTTGGAAAAAAATAATCACCCTAAT